TAAGAGTGCTTGCTCTGCAAGCCTAAGGACCTGAATTTGAATCCAAGGGGTTGAAGGGCAGAGGATCACTCAGTTCCCTCCCCCACCTCCTAACTTCCCCATCCCCCACCCCAATCCATACCTCATCTGTTACTGTTCAGAAAGAGGCAGGTCTCCCATGGGTGTCAACAAAGCATGACATATCAACTTGCTGTAGGACTAAGCTCCTCCCCTCATTTTAAGGCTGGGCAAGGCAACCCAGGATGGGGAATAAGGTCCCAAAAGCCAGCCAAAGCATTATGGATAACTTGTTAGGAGTCCTGCAAACAGACAAGTGCCACATATATGTAGAGGGCCTAGGTCACTCCCATGCAGGCTCCCTGGTTGTCAGTGCAGACTCTGTGAGCTCCTATGAGCCTAGGTTAGTTGTGGGTTTTCTTGTGATGTCTTCCACCCCCCCCACCCAGGTCCACAGAATCCTCCCCCACCCAAGTTCATATAATCCTTCCTCCCTCTCTTCAACAAGATTCTTTAACCCTAACCACTCCCAGATCTACTCTCACCTCTATACCCACAACTTATTATTATTATTTAAAGGACCCATCAAGTCCAATAGTGTTGCCGATGCACCCCTGGATGTGGGGCCATCCACTGGAGCACAGTCCATGTATTAGGGACCAAACCCTTAAGGAAAGCTGACTCACCCTTCCCCAGGAACCATCAACCACCCATAGCCCCTTAGTTAGGGGTAGAGATTCATGAACCTCTTCCCCCTCCATGCTAGAATGTTAACTGGCTTGATCTTGTTGATCTTAGGGGCAAATCTCTAGATCTGTATGTTTCATATGGGGTGTCTGCAGAATCCAGAAAACCAGAAAGGGATCATTGATGGAGAGAACAATGAAATGGACTTATTTTTTAAGTGTGTGTGTGTGTGTGTGTCTGTGTGTGTGTGTGTCTGTGTGTGTGTTTACCTGTGAGGCCAGAGGCATCAGATCTCTTTCAAGCTGGAATTTAACATGATTGTGAGCCACCTGACATAGACAGAAATTAAACTTGGGTCCTCCCTCAAACAAAACAAAACAAACAAACAAACAAACAAAAACAAAAAAAAACAAAAAAAAAAAAAACAGTCCATGCCATAATCTTAATCACTGAAACAAGTCTCCAACCTTTAGAATTATGTTTGAGGGAAGAGGAGAGGCAAGGCCTTGCCCTAAGGCAGTGTGGAAAGGGGGAGAAGTGACGGATGTGAGCACAACAAAAGGCTGTAACAGACTCAAAGGGAGAAGATGGTGATGAAGAGATAGAAGAGAAAGAGAAAGAGATCTCTCTTTAACACACTGAGCTAGAAGTGCAGTGAGGAGACAGTTGGGAATTACTATTTATCTTATTAAACTACATGATTTTATTTTAAAAAACTAATTAAAAGTCAGGGTTCAGAACAGAAGAAAAGGGAGGAACCTTGAACGGGGTATAATATAATATAATAATAATATGGCACCATGAATTTGAATGAAATATTTTGATATCATAAATCATTTGATCCATGTTAAAACTCAAGAAAAAGGTAAACTTTGATCCAGACAAACATTGGAATCCTATACAGAAGGAAAAAAAAAAAAAAAAAAAGAGTTGAACCACTTTAGGCATCAGCATAATTCCCCAAGAAAAACAAAGGAAACAAAACAGAAACTAAATGACTTTTCACAAAAGTCTAGAAAACAAAAAGGCACTTATAGCAACAGGAGAGGGACATATGGTCTTAGACCTGTGGGGAAACAGCTGTGTGAGGTATAATGCATTACATTGATGAATGGATGAACAGGTTTTCACATATGCCTCAAAAAGTGGCTGAAAAATCTCAGGCAAGAAGGCAGAAGTTTTCAGCTTTTTTCAGCTAAAATCTATTTTACAGTTACTCCTCTTCTTGTCCAAAAGCCCTAGTTCCAAAAATAACAATAAGAAAACAAAACCACTTTAAAAAATTAAAAATAAATGTCATAAAATTGACAGCTTCTAGCCATCACAAACTAATCAATGTTGCTTCAATGAAATGGTAACTGTAGGCCAAAGCAAGGTAGTTTGACATCACTACTAAGGAAACATTCAGTTTGCATTATCTAAGTTCTGAAGAAGAAAGTGATTGGGTCCCTTAGCCCAACTCTCCCAACAGTGTTGTGTCTCTGAAGCCTCCCTGAGGCTTAGACATAACAGCATCAACCTAAAACCTCCCTCTATTATAATAAGCCTAAGATAAATCTATTAAAAGAATGACCTGGAGGCAGAGAAATGGCTCAGCAAGCAACGGCTTTGGTTGTCTAGCCTGATGACCTACGCTTGATGCCCTGAACACACATGGTTAGGAAGAGAGGATCAACAATATCCAAATTGTCTTCTGACATACTTGTGTTATGGCAATTGTGAACAAGCACACACATACAAACACACACACATACACACGCACACACAGGCACATGCTAAAATATTTTAAAAACCCTACCAAAACGTTTCATCAGCAATTTCATCTCACAACTGATAAACAATCATATGCAGATCAGACTGCATGTTAATCACAAACATGCATGGAACAATAACTTGCAAAAAGACGAGTAAGACGGTGAGTGGAATCTTGAAGTCCAGGATACATAAAATGTCTTTCTTACTAAGTTTCATGGAGACCACAGAGGCAACAGGTGATCCTTATTTCTCTGATCTGATGAGAAAAGTTCAGGTTCATACTCAAGCCTTTCATCAGAATGGCTCTTCGCAAAGCAGGATGATGCAGCTTGCACTGTAACTGTTGCTTAAGGTAGGAAATACCTAACATTGTAACAAAGATTTGAACAGAAACTTCCCAGGGCAAGTTGGCAATTCTGCTTTCCCATCACACACATCAATAAGGGACAAGCATAAAAATCTGAATTTTGAGCAGGGTGGCGGTGCATGCTTTTAATCCCAGCACTCAGAAGGCAGAGGCAGGCCGACCTCTGAGTTTGAGGCCAGCCTGGTCTACAAAGCTACACAGAGAAACCCTGTCTCAAAAAAAAAAAAAAAAAAAATCTGAATTTTGGTAGGACTCAAGATACAGACCAGCAGAATACTTTGCAATAGGGGTATACATATAATCAGGACAAGGACACTAGAATATTGGGAGTGATTGATGAACGAATGACACTAATAAGGACACAGACACATGTATTCTGGACAGTGAAACACTTAGTTTTCCTACTTCAAGATTCTCAGGTTCCTCGTTTCTAGAAAATCCCACTGGATGTCAGGAGTGAGTCTGGATTTCTAGAGGCAGCATTCCTGTGCCCATAGGATCATCAGACATCATCTCTAGGCTAACAGTGTGTGACTAAGATGTGGAGAAACCAAGCATGGGAATATCAGTCTAAGGCTTCCCACAGCACAACCAAATAAGGTTCTGTATCATTTCCTCCTGGGAAACTACTGAAATGACCATGTCCTGACTAGTGTTAACCGTCAACTTGATACAACCTAGAATTATATAGGAAGATAATCTCAACTGAGGAACTGCCTGGATCAGATGGACCTATGGGCAGGTCTGTAGCGATTGTCTTGACTGTTAATTGATGTGGTCCTGAAAATATACAAGAAAGCTAGCTGTGCATAAGCTTGCTTGCCTGCCTGCCTGTGTGCCTTCTAGCCTCCATGTTTTCTGCCTTGCAGCTTTGGCTGTGAAGTGAGTTCTTTGGTTTGGAGGTGTTGTTGCAGAATAGAAAACAGGCCTATCTTCAAGGTCCTGAATTGACTTCCCTTAGTAATGAACAGGGACCTGGAATTGTAAGCCAAGAAAATCCTTTCTCTTCTAAGTTGGTCATAATTTCTTATTACAGCAACAGACATGAAACTAGATCAAACCACAAATTTTTAAATCATTTTCAAGATGACAATAGTAACTCACATAAAGTTGATATTCTTATATTTGTTCAAAATTTTAAGAATACAATTTATCCCTATTAAGCTTCTAGAATGTATTTAAGCAGGTTTTCCCTCGCTTTTAGTTTAAGTAGGGTTTCCTGCACTTTTAATGATTAAAAAAAAAAAAAAAAAGGTATTACATACTCTAACTGCTTGTTTTAACTACAAATAAACCACAGTGGCCTGAGACTTTCCACTGCCAGCCATTCACTTTAAGTTACCACTGGCTTTTCCAAGAAGTCCTTAATCCATAGCAACAGGAGTTAGCACTGACTTTTCGAGTCCTTAATCCATAACAACAGGTATAGATTATTTAAAAAACAAAATACCCCGAATCAAAACAACTCATTCATGGTATTATCAAGGATTCTAACTTGAAATAGAAAGGCCTGGGGTTGACTAGAAAAATACATCATGAATATAATGAAGCCAGAGAGGCTGTCTTGATAATGAGGCACTGAGGACACTTCCTCTTTGCAATCTATTCATTTCCGTAAGAGGAAAACATCTCCATAATTAAAATAGTTGCCCCATATACAGTGTCCACGGTGTCTCTTCCCCTGTAAATACTCAGGAGTCTGCAGGTGGAGGGGACCTGCAGAGCGTTTGCTGCTCTTGGAGAGAGCTGGAGTTCAGTTCCAAGCACCCACACAGTGGCTCACAATCGATGGAAACTCTAGTTCCAGGGACCCAACGCCCTCTTCTGGGCTCCAGGGGCACTGCACTCATGTGCACACACCCACACAAAGACACACAGATCATCACAATAAAAAAATAATAACAGTAATAATAGTAGTAGTAGCAGCAGCAGCAGCAGCAGTAGTAGTAGCAGTAGTAGTAGTACTAGTAGTAGTAGTAATAATAATAATAATAATAATAAAAATAAAAAAATCCTTTTTAAAATGCTCCACAGTCTAAGTCACAAATGAGGTAAGAAGGCTATGCTACAGGACAGGGTTCAGGAGCACCACAGACATCCTTCATAGAGCACAGAGCCCACGGGAAGGCGAGGATCCTCTCATCCGGCGCCCCGCTCCCCGCGGCCAAGGACCCGCAATGCCCTGGAGCCTTACGTGTCGCTGCTGGCTGAGGAGCAGGAACCCAAGCCGCTGGCCCCGCCGTCGGAGTCGCCCTCCTCTTCTTCCTCCTGTGAGGACAGGTCTCCGGAGAGCTCGGCCGGGCGCCCATGCAAGTCTCCCCAAGCGGGGTCCGACATCATTACGATCACGAGAGCTCCGGGTGGGAGACCCTCAGACCCCAGAGCCAGCCAGCCCCACCTCCAGCCGCGCGGCCATTTTGCCAAGCGGGACCACGTGACCCCCGAAATTCAGCTGCGATTGGCTGAAGCGCTGGTTGCCCGGGAGACAGAGAAGCTTCCCGGTGAAGACGCGGAGCTTTGAAGAGAGTCAATGGGTGCTCTTTCCACAGGCTGTGCAAAGCAGACATTCTTTTCTCCCTTTCCTTTTTTTTTCTCTTTCCAGGCTAAGTACCTTACAGTTTGTACTTTGTCCTGTTTTCTTTTTCTATTTTTGCTTTTTATTGTGATCAGACTGTTGTTGTTTTGACAGAGGCTTAGAGATAAAGAGCCTTTGCATTTATGCACCCCTGGGTACTAATGCAAATATCTGTTCTTTCTTTAAAAAAAGAAAGAAAGAAAACTTTTATCTGTAATTTGTAAATATATCAAATATTTTTAAGGTACATAATAGCTATCACTGAGTCATACATGCATCGCCTGCCCACTCTATTACATTCATTCTCAATTCATACACCATGCTAAGTATTTGCATACAATTAAGCAAATAGTCCTCTATAATTAAGTAAAAAAAAAAAAACAAAAAAACAAAAACCAAAACTGAGATTTAGTGAGAAAATAATGGTTATGCAGTTAACAGGCAACAAAGTCAACCAAAAAAAAAAAAAAAAAAAAAAAAAAAAGAACTTTAGTCATTATACTACACTACATTTTCTCCTCAGGAGCCACTTTCTCCATTTATCAGTGGTTTCATTTTCCAAGATCAGCCAAGGTGAGAAGGTACTACATGATAAATTCTAGAAGTGAACCACATGTTCTCAATTGTACATCACTCTGGTCCTGGTGCAATCTAGCACAGTCTTGCTCCACTCACTTGGTAGTAAACCTTCTTTGTTCAGTATATGCACAATGAATATGACTTTACCAGTTAGCTCCTTCTAGTAGCTGACTGGTTAGAAGGCAAGCCATCAATGTGTCAGTATCACAGTAATGTATTAAAGTGGATGACCAACACTACTAGATCACAATGCCTGAATCATTTACCTAATGTCTTTCTGCACCTAGAGGGGGAAAAATACTGATTTCCTCCTAATATCATACCACAATCAATAAAGAAGATGCCTGTGACCCCCAAAGGTTTGGGAACTTCTTCCCGCAGCAAGCAAGCAGTGGACATCAGCAGTGTCTATCCGATCCCAGTAATTTTGATATTAGCTGGAGATGCTCAAACCCCACAGGTTGAAGGATCATTCCCCAAAACTGCCACCCTGGTCACACCCTTTAAGACGGCAATTACAAACCCCAGCTTGTTTTTATTTGTCCTCTACCTACAACACAAGGTTCCCATAACTCTCTCCTTGAATGTGACTGACCTATTTGAGTGGCTCACAGATTCAGCAAAATTTTTATAGTTACCATTTTATCGAACATCATTACAAAGAATATAGATGAGAAGATACACAGGTGTGGGAGGAGGGGTGCAGAATTTCAGAGACTTCATTCACTGTCCACTCCCTGAGAGCCTCCATATGCTCATCAATCTGGAGGTTCTCTGAACCTCATCTTTCTGGTTCTTGTGCAAATGTAATCATGTAGGCCAGGTTGCTAACGGGCTGTACAGGAAGACTCAGTAATGCTTGGGTGTTGCTATTCTTTTGCATTTCTTTCTCCTAGGATGGGCCAGGACCCCTTTGGAATGGCAAGTGCCTCATGACTCGCTGTCAGATAGGGGTGTGTCACTGTAATAAAGAGACTCTCCATAATAGTTGCATTTCTAATGAAATATGTATACTTTTCCACCACTATCATCTCAAACAATAAATTTTACCTAAGATTTCATTCCAAAATAAAAAAATACTTTAGGCATTTAGTTAACCATTTCTTTGCTTATCTGTTTGTTTGAGACAGGGGCTCACTGTGCAACTATATGGCTGATCTGGAACACACTATGTAGACCAGGCTGGCCTTATACTCACAGAGATTGACCTGCCTGTCTTCCAAGTTCTGGGAGTAGAGATGTACACCACTATGCCTGGTTGCACTTCTTCATTTTTAAAGCAACCTATTAGTTTTTTTTTTTAAAGTAAAAGACATTTCAAAATATTTTGTTATGTATATGAGTGTTTTGCCTGCATAAATATTTGTTTACTATGTGCATGTCTGGTGTCCTCAGAAGCCAGAAAAAGGTCACAAAGCCCTGGAACTTGAGTTTCAGACAGTTGTGAGCTGAGATGCTGAGAATCTAACCCAGATAGATTCTCTAGAAGAGCAGCAAGTGCTCTTAATCACCATCTCTCCAGCTCTATAAGTCATTTTCAATAACAAAATATCCAGTCCCTTCCCCGAAGTAATAATCTTAATTTCTATGAGCATCTACCAGTCTTACATTATGCTCATAAACATCCAGTGTTACTTCACTAGAGAAAAGAGTCCAAGTTTTGTACAGTCTTTAAATTGCTTTCCCAGTTCAGGGAAAGCAGCTCACTTGGAAGAGTGCTTATGCAGCATGCAGGAAACTCTGAGTCAATCCTAGCAGTATGTAAACCAGCCAGGGTTGTGCACATCTGTAATTTCACTAGGGAGATGGAGGCCAGAAGAGCAGAAGGTCAAGGTCATCCTTGATTACACAGAGAGGTTGAGGCCAGTCTGGGGGATTCATGAAACCTTGTCTCAAAAATGTTTTTCCCTAAATCAAATAACTGAGTATCCTTAATTTCTATTCTATATTAATCAAATTAAGGAAGTGTGTCCAGTATGTCTGATCAAAAGGAATCACTCACAGCTTACTAAATGTACAGTTTTTGAGACCTTGCACCACATCAATGGGATCAGAATCTGTAGAGGAGAAGCTTAGAAATCTCTGCTGTTGTTAAGATATGTTTTCTTCCTTATGTATATGAACATGTTGCATGCATGTATGTATGTGCTCCATGTGTTTGCCTGGTACCTGAGGAGGTCAGAAGAGTGTGTTGGATCCTCTATAACTGAAGTTACTGATGTTGTAAGCCATTATGTGGGTGCTGGGAATCAAACTGGGTCTTCTGCTAAAACAAGTATTCTAAACCATGAGCCATCTCTCCAGTTCCCAAATCTCTGTTTCAAATGAGGGCCCCAAATGGTTCTGAAGTCTTGGGAAATGATGCCCTAATCTTTGCCCCAGCCCTATGCTTCTTTGGGACAGGATGGCTGATATATTTTGAATACTCTGCCACCACTCCCACTTGGTGAATTTGAGCCTGGCTGACAGGTTCTGAATCACTCTCCAAGGAACTATATCTATACAATCCCAACACACCAATCTCTTCAAGCTCTACTTTCTTGTTCTCTAAATTCACACAGTGGCACCCACTGTTTGGAGTATATGTAAAATGCCTAGTGCAAGCAGGGTCAGTAGACTTAGCCACCTGTAGAGCTATGGAGTCCTCTTGGTGCTTGCTTCTACATAATACATTTGTTCAAATGCAGCACAACTTTCCCCTAAGACACAGTAACTCTCTTTTCAAAGCTTTCCAGACATAACCACCTGAATAAGAAGCCCTTTCTCTATCTTCCCTCAATAAAATATGCCATGTGTATACATATATGTGTATGTGTAGGTATATGTATATGCACATGCATAAATGCCTCCAAATGACAGTCTCCTGGAGACATGATGAGATGACTGGTTATTTCTTCTTTAAACTTCTCTCATTCCACTAACTTGAATCACAGAAAAAAAGAAAGAAAAGAAAAAAAGACCCCCATAAAATTATGTTGTGTATGAGATACTGCATATTTCAGCTTCCTGTGCTAATTAAATTCTATCTGTTGGCTTAATAGGAAAGAGAGACACAGAAAGAATGTGTGTAACTACTTTGCTTGATCTTTCATATAGACTGACATACAACATAACAATTATTTTATTACTAATTTAATTTGGGGGATGTGGTATTAGCAAATTGTATTTCTAACTTGATTAATTTTAATATCCTTATATGTGTTGGGAAAGGAAAAGATGGAGAAAGAAAAAGAAAATGGCATCAGAGCCATTTGTGAAAATACTCTGTTAGTCCAAGGGCTTAATAATTAGAATCACAAGAAAACTTTAAAGATTTAGACTGGGGTATATTCTCATTTTCTATTTTTGACTACCTAAAAATTGAAGCTCAAAAAGGTTTACTTTAATGTGTCAGAGACACATTTTCCATAGATTACCATCTCAATTAGACAAACAATACAATTCAGACATAAAATACGCCAGATAAGAACATAGTTAAATATTTACTAGACTTAGCAGGCTCAAAGGCTCTTTATTTAGTAGCAGGAGAAGCAAGCAATGAAGGATAAATGAAAACAGGGCCATGGGAGATGATGCTCATTTAAATCATGGGGCAAATTTTATGTAATGGAGCTTTGTCAAAAACTAATCAATATTGCAGTGAGTGTGAACACAGGAAAAGCACTTTATGAAATAAGCAGTAATAGTTTTAAAAATCTATTTTAAAGTAATTATTTTAAAAAATTATGGTAGACCAATAAATATCATTTAAAATGCTGTGACTTTCTAATGTGGAGTTTTCCAAAATTGAAGATAGGAAAGTTGCTCTTCAATGTTAAATTTGTGTAATGAAGTTACAGTCTGAAATTTTAGTTTTCTCATATGAAAATGGAATCCCTTGTTCATATGTACAGAACCTAATTGTTATATGATCATTTAGATGATAATAGAACATAGAGAGGCTCTGGGCTGGGGTAACTCAGTGGGAAAGTGCTTCTTTAACATGCATAAAATGTTCCGTTCAGTCTTCATGTCTGCAGAAACCAAACAGTGGGATTATATTATTTCCCATTCAGTCACCCAGTAACTGCAGCAGACAACACAACACTCAATCCATGAGCCCAGGTCATCCATTCTTATTTGTCTTTATTCTCTGCCACTGCTTACAAACTACAACACATTTGTTGAACTCTTCTGCCACCAG